AGAGAGAAGGGGAGAGGAGAGAGAGAGAGAGAGAGAAGGGGAGAGGAGAGAGAGAGAGAGAGAAGGGGAAATGAGAGAGAGAGAGAGAGAAGGGGAGAGGAGAGAGAGAGAGAGAGAAGGGGAGAGGAGAGAGAGAGAGAGAGAGAAGGGGAAATGAGAGAGAGAGAGAAGGGGAGAGGAGAGAGAGAGAGAGAGAGAAGGGGAGAGGAGAGAGAGAGAGAGAGAAGGGGAGAGGAGAGAGAGAGAGAGAGAAGGGGAGAGGAGAGAGAGAGAGAGAGAAGGGGAGAGGAGAGAGAGAGAGAGAGAAGGGGAGAGGAGAGAGAGAGAGAGAAGGGGAGAGGAAAGAGAGAGAGAGAGAGAGAGAGAGAGAGAGAGAGAGAGAGAGAGAGAGAGAGAGAGAGAGAGAGAGAGAGAGAGAGAGAGAGAGAGAGAGAGGGAGAAATGAGAGAGAGAGAGAAGGGGAGAGGAGAGAGAGAGAGAGAGAGAAGGGGAGAGGAGAGAGAGAGAGAGAGAGAAGGGGAAATGAGAGAGAGAGAGAGAAGGGGAAATGAGAGAGAGAGAGAGAAGGGGAAATGAGAGAGAGAGAGAGAAGGGGAGACGAGAGAGAGTGAAGAAAGTTAGATGAAAGAGAAGGGGAAAGGAGATAGAGAGAGAGAGAGAGAGTATAGATATAGAAAATAATAATCGAAATTAAATGTATTACAGTTTGTGTCATTTGCACCTCCAGCGTTCATCAGTGACAGAAAGAAATGCACCATGATAATCGTAATGTATAAATGAATCAATATTCCTGTTATATAATGTAAGAGACAAATTATTCTCTGGAATAACATTTTGCTGTATGTCGAAATGAAATCATATAACTTGGAACTTAATCTGATGCTTTAGAATTGTGCTTTAAATTGACATCGATTATTGCAATTCCCTTCAATCAATGACGTTTGTCACTGATTTTTAGCCCTTAATCAGACGCGGACTAAAATAGAATATTTCATTAGTTTTTTTTTCATTTATTTATTTATCTATCTATTTATTCATTTTTGGCAAGGAAACACTATATGATATTCTCGTCTGTTATTTTCTCTCACATGATAACCAATCTTGATACACAGCTGCATGTTACACACCTCAAAACGTCACACATGTGTTATAATACAAATCACAGTCTCCTTATGAAAAAGGTACTATAAACATCCGCAAATCACGCTATAATACTACTTCCTACAGCTATTCATAAAAAAAATATATAAGAAATTAGCTATGATAATAAAAAACTCAAGTCAAATAACACTAAAAAAACATTTCATGAACAAAAAACAAGATAAGAAAAGAAAAAAAAAAACTCTCAAATATGCCAAAATATAAAAAAAAAAATGATAATAATAATAATAATAAAAAAGAAAAAAAAAGGAAATTCACCCATTCAGAGAACACTCAAAAATATATATACCGAAACATTAAAAAATAATAATAATAAGTAAAAAAATGAAATTCATTCACTCAAGAGACACCCCCATTAAGCGAGGTTCACATTGAACTTTCGCTGGAGAACCCTTCTTTTCGACCTCAGCTCATCCCAGTCAATGTAGGCGTTGTGGATGTGCCGGGGACCCGAAGACGCGTCCGGTTCGAAGGCCTGGCGACCGTGGAGGACCCGGGTGTTGTCCAGCACGAGGATGTCGCCTGCAGGAGAGGGTCAGAGCACAGGTGTTTTGTTTGTAAGGGAGGACGATGGGAGAGGATGATGGGGAGTGGCAGGGGGAGAGGAAGGGAGAATGGAGAGGGGTAGGGAGAGTGGAGAGAGAGGTAGGGAGACAAGGAGAATGGAAAGTGGTAGGGAGAGTGGAGAGTGGAGAGAGGTGAAAAGAGTGGAGAATGGAGGTGGAGAGGGAGAGAGAGAGGTAGGGAGACAGGGAGAATGGATAGTGGTAGGGAGAGTGGAGAATGGAGGGGGAGAGGGAGAGAGAGGTAGGGAGAGTGGAGAGTGGAGAGAGGTATGGAGAGATCATAAAGATCAGTTGGTATGGAAAATAGGGGAGGCAGAGATAGGGAAGAAGAGGGAAGACAAAGGGAGAAGGGAATGCAGGAAGACAAAGGAACAAAAGGAAGACAGATCAGAAGACATAGGGAAATAGAAACCAAAGGAAGAGGAAAATACAAGAAGACAAAAAAAACAACAAAGGAAGACAGAAAGACCGAGTAAATATGGGAGGGTAAAGAAAAAAAAAAGACAGATAGATAGGTAAGCAACGGAAGGAAGAAGAAAGGCAGTGAAGAGAAGGAAGACAAGGAATAATAGGAAGACAGAAAGAGAAAAAAATATGAGTATACACCGAAAAACAACGAATACCAGGGAAAAAAAAGGGAAGACGAACCACAAGTGAAAATTGAATGGTGGAAACAGATGGTCCCATAAGTATAGTAAAGGAAACGTTTTCGTAATGACTTAGCAAATTTAATAGAACTATATTCCAATAGATGCGGAATATTGCATTCTTAAAAAAAGTAAAAACATTGTATTCCAGATAAGCGGGATAGAAGAATTCTCTTTTGAGGCGAAGATGACTATAATTATGTATGTCTTCATAACAGTAAAAAAAAAAAAAATAAAAAAATAAAAAAATAAACAACAGCAACAAAATATCATTACCACTACCACCAACAAAAAGAGGAAACCATCAACAACAGCAACAGCAATATCAGCTGACAACAAAACGAACATTCCTCTCACCCGGTTTGGTCTTGACACAGATACTGATCTCCATAAGGATGCTGTTGAAGGTCTTAAGAGCCTTGTAGAACTGCAGGACGCCGTCTGTGTCCAGGTCCATGATGGGGTCACGTGACTGCGAGGACATGTGAATCCGACGCACGTGTCCGCGTTCGTCTAACCTGCAGGCGGATTCACTCGGTTTTATGCGGATTTTCGGACAGGGAATGGTGATGATAGTGATATTTTATTTTTTTCTGATAAAGATGTAGGGCATTTTTTTGTATAGATTTCGAGCAGAATTGGGAATTCGTAGATCTACACTCCGGATAACTTTGAAGTTGATGTATTAAAACAAAAGGGAAGAAAAAGAAAGAAGAGAATTCAGATTCACTAATCTATACTACAAATAACTGTGAAGTTCATATATAAATAAAAGAAGAGGAAGGAAAAAGGAATAAATGACATGTCTATTAACCCACATGATAACAGGCACTCTCGTGATCTTATCGAAGTCATACTGATGGAAGCCCTTATCCTGAAAATAGACGGGGGTGTCGACCAGTACTTGGAAGAGGTCAGGGTGTCTCTCGCGAAGGACATCAGCAACATTCAGGCCATCTACGAGGTCATTGTCTCCTCCTTTGCCCTCGTGTTGGCGCAGGCAGTGGAGCCAGGTCGTCTGCAACAGGTAGGTGGGGAGTTCTTAGATTGCTAAAAAAGCCAAGAGGTGTAAGTTATGAAAGCATTATCTGCATGGAAGAGTTAATTATGAATGTACTATTTGCTAAGAAGAGTAATTTATGAATCTAATATCTGTTCCAAATGTCTTTCTACTGATGCGAAGTCTCTGGAGGGAATACTGAAGACAAAATTCCTTGGTGTTCGTTCGTGTTAATTTAAAGGGAATATTACTGATATAATGACATTATACTGTATTGTAAATAAATCTTAGACAGACTGCCAATAGATTTTCATTTCTTTGGTTTGGGGTCATGGATCTGTCGGAAACTTGAGAAAGGGGTCGTGAGTATAAATTAAAGGGAACCACTGGTCAACAGAAAGCTACTTTCGCCGTATCTGGTCCCCCGTAGCGTTATTATTCATCATTATTCATTCATTTTCAACCCAAAACTCCAGCAAGCAAGACGTACCCCGGGTGGGTATTCGTAGTAAGGGAGATCCGTGTGGAGGCCGAGTTTGGATCCCGTATAAGCCAAGTTATTCGGTGTTACGTGCGTCACGAGCTCGTAATCCGTCCTGTGTTTTTGAGAAAGAGAAAAGGAAAATGTTATTATAGTGTTATTGAGTATCTCATACTGTAAATGAGGATGTTATTATGTCATTGTGAATATCGGGTATTTTTTTTTAGAGAGCGCTTTTTAATATTTCGTAATAACTCATTTCGAATATATTAATTTTTTTAAAGAACACCTATCTAATCATCTATTCTAATTATCTACCAATCTATACATCTATCTCTCACTCTAAATATATCAGACACATTATAGAAAAAGAAGAAAAAAACAAACAAACATAAGAAAAACACATATACATAAAAAAAGTAATTAATTAATAAAAAATTATGATAATAATGACATCAAACTCGACACACTACCGACCCATAATGCGTCGGTTTCACGAAGCCAATGTTGTTGATGAAGTCGTTGATGGCACCCACTTTCTGAGGCGCGTTGGTGATAAGGACGACTCCAAACCTCTCCAGAAGGGTGAGCCAGTCGAGGAGCACCCGGTCGTCCTCCATGGCACTCTGGTAGTCAATGAGTGGCACTTGGAAGCCAGGGCCCCAGCGAACCTTGGGTGAATGAGAAAGAGGTTTGTGAAGGGTGAAGGGGAGGGGGGGCGGGGTTGAAAGGGAGGTGAAAAACTAAAGGAAAGAAGAAGGAAAGGAGATAGAATAAAGAGAGAAAAAAAAGACGATGAAAGAGAAAAAAATAGTTGTACAAAAAAAAAAAAGGAGAAGGAGAAGAAGAAGGAAGAAGAAGAAAGAAAAGACAAGAAAAGAAAAAAAACAATGAAGAGGGGAAAAAAGAACAAGAACAAGATAATGAAAATAAAAACAAAATAGAAAAAAAAACAGTAACAAACAACAACAAAAACAAAACACGAAGAAAACGAAGCAGAATAACAACAACAACAATAAAAAAACACAATCATTTACCCTCGAAAGCATGTACTGCGCGCGGTGTTTAGCTCTGGCCTCCTGCGTGAAGGCGCGCTGGTGGAGCCAAGGGCCCGAGAACACGCCGATGTGGCCGTCCTCCCACTC